CACAGCCTCCACTGCCCACAGCCCCCACTGCCCACAGCCTCCACTGCCCACAGCTCCTGCTTGCCCACAGCCCCCGCTGCCTGCAACCCCCACTGCCCGCAGCCCCCGATGCCCACAGCCCCTCCTGCCCACAGCCACTGCCTCCTCCTGGCAGCACGGGGCAAGGCAGTGAGAATAAAGCATTGGAAGTTCTTCGCAGGTGATACGTTCCTCATTTTCTGGGTCACTGTCCTCAAGACTGATCTGTGGGCCTGCGTATCCCCCGCGCCCATGATGGACAGCAATGGAAACTGTGCCTGAGAATATGGGATGCTGCGGGTGGTCGTGAGGGGTGGAGAATAGTGTTTCCAGCAAGGCACCTGCAAGCAGAGGAGATTTTCTACCTTGATCTCCCTATGCCTGAGACCTCATCTGTGAAACATCACATTCTTGCTCCTCCTGACTTTGGCCATTAGGTCTCCACAAGTCCCTTTGAGCTGCTGCATCCCAAATCCAGAGGTTTTGTGGCTATTTCTTCTCCAGGGGTGTGAGGGAGCTGAGCTTCAGCGCTGCCCAGGGAAGCCACCCCGCTCCCCACTGCAACAAGCTGGCCCCCACAGCCCATGGCCGCAACCCCAACTCCAGGAGCCCCCCGACCCACCAGCCCTGCCGCTCGCTGTTGTTCCTGGCTTTGAAAAGACGAGCCAGGGCTGACTGCAATGAGGCATTTTATATCCACCGTGGTTTCAGAGCCTCCACCACAAGCAATCACAGGCACACGGAGGCTTTCTGCCCCTCACGCTGGCTGCAGAAGATCTTCTCAACCGGGGATCACCATCGCCCACGTGCCCTGACGGACATGGGAGTCTTGGGGGAAATGGCGGCCTGGGATCGCGTTGCTGAAGGCTGCGTTGCCACATGGGTGGAGGGGACGTTGTGCTGGCAGACCCGTCACTCAGACGGCCTTCTCTGCACCGGGGCTGCCTGGGGTGCATGGGTGGGCAGGGGGGTGAAGAGGCCTTTGGGGGCGTGGGAAGGTAACAGCAGCAAATTTTGTAGTTTGAGGTCCAAGTGCTGACCTGACAGCAGGAACGATACAGCCTGAGAGACTTCAGGAAATCTGGCACAACCGGTGGGGGAAAATTCTACTTAAAGCTAGCTTACACTGATGCAGTCTGTAAAGAGTGCCCTTTTATACCACCCAAGGACCTCCCCAAATCTGGGCTCTTCTCCTCCTAAATGTGGGCTCTTACACCCTTGAATCTGCAGTGCTTATCATCCTGCAGCAATACTGCGTTGTGAGGTACCTCTTGCTCTCGGTTCCCATACAGTACTGTTCTACTTCTGAACAGCGCAATGGGGTCTCCAGAGCTTGCTGGCTTTATCGAAAAAAGCATAAGTATCAAACAGGAGTAGAGAAATATTCCAGCTCACAAGTCAAATCAGATAATTGAAGTGGTAGGATGAGCCTTAAAATTAGCCCAGTTCATGCCTGAATAGGGTTCATATCTCACTGGGAACTAACCGTCCTTTCTTTTCTTTGTCTTCATTTTTTTTTTTCCTGCTGCTGCTGTTCGATTTGGAAGGTGATCTTTAGTAAATATTGCAACTCCAAAGATATCATGGACCTCTTCTGCATTGCAACAGGCTTACCAAGGTAGGTGTCTATTTTCATTTGTGACATTCACTTCGCTTTTGTTGCTTTACTTCTGGAGACAATTTAAAGACAGGCCCCAAATGATGCATTCACCTGCTATTCAGGCTCCTCTCTCATTCCGGTCTACTGGAAGAAGAAATTGGGGCAACCCAGAAAGCACCAGTGGGAAAAGTGCACAAAGCTCAGACAGGCATTGAGCCACCTCAGTGCTGGCTGCACCTGAGGAACAGAGTGAAATAGAATGGAACAGAAGGCATACAGTCTAAAAAAATAAAAGCAAGTGCAGAAGCCCAGCCCTGACTGCGCATGGGTTCTGTGTGCCTACCAGTTATCCCTCAGCACTACATTTTTGCCCATATTGAGTGAAACATAACCATATGTTCAGAACCTGGTTTTTAGGGGAAAATCTTGGGGCCAATGAGAAGTATTGCCACTACAAGATAAGCTTTATATTTAGACACAGTACAATCTAATCCCAGGTATAGGGTATTCAAGCACAAAGTATCCCAGCAGAACATAAATTATAGAACATAAATATCCCCAAATCATTTGTCCAGGCCAAGTATCTGCTGATTTATGTTGTCCTGCAAAGTCCATGCATCTGTCCTGCTGTAATTTCCGGTAGGGTTTGTTTCTCTTGCCCTCAACCTAAAGAACATTATCCAGCCTAAATCTCTGTGTTGTGAGGGATCCAGGGTTGGGTGTCAGTGTGTGTCGAGGTTGGAGAGGCCGGCATGTGGCGGAGGGTGGATGGTGGGGCACCCAGCCATGTCTGCACCGCCTGTCAAGGGCAGGGGTAGGGGCATCTGCTGTCTGCGTACAGGCCGTGAGCAGCACAGGACAGAGGCACGCAATAAGCCATAGTCTGTACCATTGTACATAGAGGTTTACAATATAGAAAAAGCACAGGAAAGAATAAACCAACCCTTTAGTCATGGGTTTATTGCATGACTCCAGCTCTGGGGATTGAAAGATAAAATTGTCCATATTAACTCGGACTTTGCATAAACTGCTGGGCAGAATTAATGCCCTTTGCTGTTTATCCTGGCTGTTTCCTCTCACTTGACATCAGAGAGGTTAACAACTCTCGTTTGCCTATCATGTCAAATACTTCCGCTCCATCACCCAGGAAACTTTGTTTAGTGGTTTTAGTCGTTCATGATCAGTGTGTTCACTGTGTATTTGTAATTTTATTTTCATCAGAAGAGTTCCAAAGAACTGTTCATTTCAGCTAGGCTCCTGGAGCCAGAGTAAGACTCCAAGATTTACGTCTGAGCCTGTGAGATCACACCTAGCACAGCCTAAAAAAATAAAAGTCCCACATTCAGCAAGAGATTTGTTTTATCTCTTTTGGTAAAGGAGTAACTAGGCAATTTCGAGACATTCGTAGCACTGGTAGTCATTGGTATAGTGAGTCAATACATAGCTGTCGAGTCAAACTATCACAAAACACAGCTTTTTAATAGAAATTATTAATTGAAGAGTCAACAGAATGCACGAGGTAACAGGGAGCAAAGTCTGCTCTGAGATCAAAGATGATCACACCTAATATTTTGCTAGAAACATCTCTGGTAATTGAAATGGGTGAAGCATCAAACCTACCCTGTCCTGTGCTTTGACCCTTTCTGCACCAAGATAAAATCGGTCCGAGACAGGGCCAGGCCAGGAGTGCTGCAGAAGAGAAGACGGCTATGCACTGTGTGCAGCAGCACAGAATTTCAGCCAGCATTTCTAGGTCAAGTAAACCTCTTTGAAATCTGCTTTTCAGGAACACAACAATCTCCCTTTTGACAGCAGACAATTGCATGGTGTCCATTGATCCAACAATGCCTGCAAACTCAGAGAGGTAAGTCTTTCTGCAACCTGTTCTTCAGAAATGGGGTCAAGCCCAAGGGAAGGAGTGGTGGTTGCCTGCAGATGCCTTTTGTGTGCACTGGGAGGTAAGCAGCTCCCTGGAGGGAGAGAGATGACAGCAAGAATTGCATGCTGGCTTATAGCTATAATGCCTGCTGGTTTTGAAGATTTTTGCTTGTTATTAATGTAGGAGTAATTATCTGAGGAAAAAATACCACTTTTAAGTGTTTAATGTAGAACATCTCTTCTCTGCCCTACTCTGTTTGCTGCCAATCGTGAAATACAAACTGCTTTCTGAGTGTTGCTAACATCAGACCTCTCTGACTCTTCCAGGTCTCCATACAAAGTGATACCAGTTGCCACTGGGCAGCTTTCAGGTAAACCAATCTTTTTGAACTGGATTTGCAAACATTTGTGTGTGGAAGTTACATGGCTATGATGCAAGAAAGAAAGAAAAATGATGGTGTCAAGGCTGTAGCTACGGCAGAATAAGAAGTGTTTGATCACAGTATTCTGGAGGAAAGCTTAAAAAAGTCCTCAGATTTCAAAGTATTTGAGGATAAGGTGGAATGGCTGGGGTCCAGGGGACTTTCACAGTGTTTAGCTCTGGTCTGACTCAGCACACTGGTGTCCTGGGGAGAGTCTCGCATGGGGCAGTGTTTTTTTTCCGGCAATGCAGACAACGTTTGAAAGCCTGTCCTGCAGTGTTTTCTTAAACTTGTTTACCTTCCAGTAAAGCTCTGCTGGAAAGCTGAGCACAACATTTCAACTTCATTTTATTTCCAAATGGCTGAGGAGAGAGCATAAATTCTGTTGTGGGTACGGTAGCTCTAAGTGTAATAAATATTTAAATACACCTGACAAGATTAAAGAGGGCCTGGGTGAAAGAACACATCTGGAACACATTCCCCGGTGCGCAGCCCTGTCATACTCCACAGGCAGGACTGAAGTGGCGCTGCTACCACTTTTCTTTGCCTGCAAGTATCATGCTTAGGCCAGTAGCTCTCAGACGCTGGAGCAGAACATTTGCTTGGGGCGATCCCTGTAGAGCATCTGGCTCATCGTCTCTCTCATCTGTTCAACTGCAGTATCTCCTGCCATTCGCTCCAAGGCAGCTTGAGCAAGAGCCCTAGCCTGTACACTGTGGAGTTGAGGCAGAGGTTGAAGTATGGTAGGAGATGTCAGCTGGGGACACAGTTTGGAGCAGTAAAATGAGAAGATAGGAGAGACAAGGGGCAAGAGGTTAAGATTATCTTGGAAACGTAGACTGCATGGAAAGAACAGGAGGGAGCTGGAAAGTCTGGGACTGGAAAAAGTAGTTTGCAGGAATGGGTGAGGCTCTTGGATTGGGGGCAAGGCAGTGTTGCTGGTCCTACCTCATCTTCTTGCTAATGCTAATTGCAGGCCCCACCTCTTCTTCTTGCTCTAGGCCTCGTGCTATGCAAGAAAACATAGTGTCTCACAGCACTGCCTTTTTTTCAGATGGGGAGGTGGAGGGACCCAAAGCTACTCTCTGAGGTACCCATGTCCGCTGCAGCAGAAACATCTGCAGCAAAAGGGCAGAGCCAGGCAGTGTGGGAGGGTGTGCGGGGGGCACAGAGGGGCAGCTGCCGGGAGCTTGTGCATGCAGAGAGCAAAGACGAACGTGGAGCAAAAAGAACAAAGAAGCTAGGAAACAGGGAAGAACTTTATCGCAGTAAGATTTGTTACGAGCCATAAACAGGTCCCGTGTCAGCAATTGCTGCTGTTGCCAGAAGGAGGTAGTCAAAGCTGAGGGACGCACGTGACTGCTAGGGGAAAAGAAGCTGTCTCCTAAACTGTTTCCTTATTGTAATGAACTCTGCTGGAACAGCACCACTCTTCTGGTCCAGGAGCACACTATTTGCATTATCAGATCAGAAAAGGTGGAGTCTTGAGTGACTGGAGCCTGTGTCTCTGTGCACCAGCTGGCGTGGGTAAGCAACAGTCATTTGCCCCAAGATGGAGAAAGACCGGCAAACAGGGCCATCGGGGCTCTGCCGGGGAATGCCGCTGTGTTATACTAGCTGAGAAGCTGATCGAAGGGCTCTTCGGAAAACCTGCTCTTTATTTTCCTAACATGAATTTAACTTTATATTCTTGTAAGACCATGTATGCCTTTTCGCACTCTGCCAGGGCCCTCATTTTTCACCCCAGCTGACAGCACATGGCTCTGCTTTGTGCAGAGCGTAGCTCACTGTGTCAGCAAGGTCTCTCTTCCCTCCCTGCATTTCATAAAACAAGGATTTCCAGAGATCTAGGCTGAAAAGGGCAAGAAAAATTCTGGCGGTAGGTTGCCAAAGCATAAGATAGAGTCTGCTATGGAAAGAGAAGGAAAGTTGAACTGAGTGTGATGGAACTAATGTTCCTTCATATCTGTTTCTCTTTCACATGGGTTGTCATTAATCTTAAGCATTGCTGACATTTTGCTGAGAGTAGGAAGAATAAACAGAGTGGGAAATTGTTCCTCTTCGTTAAAAGAAAAAAACACAGCTCTGTTCTAGTCTTCAATTCTTGAACAACTCTGCCTGCGTGATTCTGCTTCCCAAAGCAACTTGTCCAAATAAATGCCAAAAAGGGGGTCACCCCAATTTTCACAGCAGTGGGAGGTAACGCACCTCTTTTCAGCAGTGTCCCAGGCAGCTGGAAGAGGCTGAGACACGCTTCACTGGAATAAAGGCTGTAAAAGGTGGGACTGGAAAATACGATCCTTTGGGAGGGAAATACAAGCAGTGGCTTTCATCCAGCGGAGGAGATATCCACCAGAGTCCTGCTAAGAAACCGTTCTTCATTTCCTGGCCATAGTCATGGGAGAGGGTTGCAATTAAAAAAATTATTGTTCCAGTGAGCGTCTGTTGGATGCAGCAGCAATCACCGTATCACCGCGGGGTCAGCCGTCTGCGAGGCAGAGGCGGGGGCCCAGCTGGCCAGCCCTGAGCCTGTGGGGCCATCGCATCACGTGCTGTCCCCCCTCCCGCAGCCCCGGACCAGAGCAGAGCACCGAACCCCCAGTGCCAAGCCCTTCCTTCCCTCTGGGGTGTTTAAAGTCCCAAGCCTGTCAAACAGGCAACTTCTCCCTCCCAACTGTGGAAAGCCTCTGGTCTGCGTCCTCGTGGTGGAAGAGGCTCAAAACTCACGAACTGATGACTGTGTTGTGGCTGTAATTAGTATGGTTCAGGCACTCTGCAATATTGCTGGAGATGCCAATTAAATGAACAAATCCTACTAGCAGCACTCTCTTGAGAAATAAGATTGAAGTCTGTTACGTTTCTGAGAAACGTACAGAGAAAGGAGCTACTATGGGGCTCAAGTGAGCCTGATCCAGTGCTGTCCTAAACAGGGAGAAACACACGCGGGGGCTTTCCTAACTCCACAGTTAGGGCAGCACAGCACACAGGCTTACCTGTGCTCAGTTATTTGCCTTTCCAACTAACCAGCTATCTAGCACTCGCAGGGAGGAAAAACCCCCAGTCTCTCCCCAGGGACATCGGCTTGCAGTGGGAGAGCTAGCTCAACCAAGACGTGTGTAGCTGCCTGCTAGAAGGCCCACGTCTGAACATGAGGAAGAACTTCTTCCCTCTGAGGGTGACGGAGCACTGGAACAGGCTGCCCAGGGAGGTTGTGGAGTCTCCTTCTCTGGAGATATTCAAGACCCGCCTGGACAAGGTCCTGTGCAGCCTGCTGTAGGTGACCCTGCTTCGGCGGGGGGGTTGGACTAGATGACCCACAGAGGTCCCTTCCAACCCCAAAAGTACAAAGTGCGAGAAGGTCTTGACAAACTAAGATGCAAGGAATCTTAGGATGGGAGGGTTGGACTAGATGACCCACAGTGGTCCCTTCCAATCCCTACTATTCTGTGATTCTGTGATTCTGTGAATCGGTGCTAGCCTTGCCTCGCCTGCCGCTGAGCCCACCGCCGACTGCACCCGAGATCCACGGGGACCGCTTTTTCCCCCTGAATGATTAAATACACAGGCTCCTGTGCAGATTGCTATTGGTAAAGCGACAGAAGCTCGTCACTGTGTCTAAATCTTCTTATTCTGGGATCTCTCTCTTCTCCTTTTGGAGGAATATTCATGCTTGCAGCTCAGGCAAGAGGGAAAAGGCAGCCACCACGAGAGAAAAAACCCCTCCTGCCTGCTGCTCCTTACATGCATCCCACGTGGATACGTGCGTTGGGAAGGGGACAACTGCTCAGCCACTTCAGGATTACTCACACATGCAGGGATTCGTATGTGGTAGCCCAAATTAACCTGAGCTGTCAAGCCAATTTGGCGCTCGATATGACGTGATTCATGGACGTCGGCTTGCACTTGAAGCACACCCCTTCCTGGGGTTTTTGTCCACCTGGCTGTTTGTCTTTCAAATTCCTCTGACTGCCCAGCTCCAAACAAACCGCAGAATGGGAAATACAGACGTGAGCCCAAGCCAGAGGCACAGGCACACGTGAGGAAGAGACCGTGTGGCAGGAATTCGCCAGCCTGACGCTGGCAGGGAAAGGCAGAGGCCCACGTCTTCCCAGCCTTGCTTAGCCACAGCAGAAAAGACGGGGAGGGGGGGGAATCAACCCACCCCCACAACCCCACGCACTCCCCGCTCACACCCCGGTGAGGCTGGCAGGGTGGGGAGGGGAGCTGAGGAGGGTGGGAGGATGGAGGTGGCTCCCTGCCACCATCCTGGCGTGTGAGACGGGAGAGGAAGAGCCACTGCCAAGCAGGACGGCACGAAGCAGAGGGTGCGTGCCGGTGGGTCGCAAGCCATCTGTGTCGGTGCACGCACAACCTGAGCTGCCCCAGCGTGTGCCCAGTCTCCATCTGGCAGGGAAAGGTGCGTGCTCGCTGCCAGCCCTCTGATCCGGCCGCGGCGGGAGCCGCAGCAAGAAGTGAGTCCCCCCTGCCGCATTCCCCCTGCGCCTGCTCTCTGCCCAGACCTGCTGGAGACGGGGCAGCCAGGAGGGAGAGCAAAATATCTTCTAGCTCTGTGACGCCCCGGCCAAGCTCCCTGCTGAGCTTGGCAGAGGCCAGCAGGCGAGGAGCCGCAGTCCCTGTGCCCGCTGTGAGCACAGGAACGAGCCGTGGGAAACCCGGGGAGGCCGGAGCTGGCCTGTGCCCTGCCTGGCATTACGCTATTGCAGCGTCTTACGGAGAGGGGTTTTCTAATTTTCACTTGTCAGCTCTGAAACGGGCTGCGTGTTGTGCAAAAATCTGACTTGCTGAACACCTGCATTTGCAAAGGTTGCACACTCGCGGTGCGGTGAGGGGTGGGCTGAGAAGAGGGTTGCTGTTGGCTTTGAGGTTACTGCAGGCAGGAGCTGGCAGCCCTCAGCAAGGTGCACGGGTTGCATCTGCCCCTGCTATGTGCAGTAGGATTTCCTTTTCCCAGAGGGAATAGCAGCAAAACAAATGAAGCAACTAAGGGAAAAGGTAGCTACGTGCACCTGGGGTATCAAGCCCTGCCCAGAGGTATATAAAAAAAGGAAGACAGAGGGTAATGAAGGGAGTAAAAAGACACCTAGCCTTCCTGTTTTGCAAAGGAGTGGGCAAGCGAGACTAAATGATGTTGGCACGACGTCTGATTTTCTTCAGAACGAGGGGTTAGCAGAGGTCTTTGCCTTGGAAAGGAACAGGGCAAAGAAATGGAACTTTGTCTCTTTAAGATGAGACGAACTGCCACTCTTAGTCATATATCTTTACTGCACCCTGGGGTTATAAAAACATACATCTTCATTTTGAAAGTCTTTTATTACATCCATAAACATCAGATTGCAGCTGACTGTTCCCTGGATGAGAATGTCCTAGTACTCCAAGTGAGTTTTGACAGGGGGAGGGAGTGAAAGTAAGATTGGGGTTTTTTTTTACTGGAACGGTGTTTATAGGAAACTTGTCAGTCTCTGGCGTGCTACAGCCACTGTCAGAGAGCTGAGCGGCACCGAAGTGAGAGGACACGGGTTTCTCTGCTTATTCTCACTGTTGGACTCGGGTACCATCCCAGGTGCTGCATACGGTAAGCTTTCCTCCTGTCTTAAATAGGGCGCAGCGTTTGCTTTGTTTCAGCGCTTGGGTTTTCAAGTGGATTTTGCGAGAAAACTGAAAAATGGGTCTCTGTGAAAACAACTAATCTCTTCATTTGCTCTGCTAGCCGCTCCGCTGGGAGTCGGATGGCAGCAAAAAAAAAAAATAAAAAAGAGAGGCAATTAGATCTGAGACTTTCAGAGCATAGAGTGCTTGCTCCACTTTAGAGACACGGGGGTAACAGCCACATTGTTTTCACGAGAAAAGTGAATGCTCTTGACAAGTATTTCTGACATCTCTAATACCTGAGGAATTGCAAATCCTTTCAACAGGTACAAGAGCTGTTATTTAGAAATATGTTGCAAATGCTGGGCTATATTCTGTCTGATGTGTTTTGCTGGAGTGATTGCACTCGTGAGACATCGTGCTCCCTCAGGCAAGTGCAAGAAGTAGCTTCAGAAATGCCGTGGGGGTATTTCTACGTAGGGTATAAATGGGTGTTCTGTAATCTACGGCATGTGTATGAGAGCATGCAATGTTTCTGCTCCTTGAGTGTGAGAAACCAAGAGTATATCCCCATTGCAGGCACGAGAATGACTGCAGCACAGTGCAGTTTAAATTAGCTGGTGGGGGGAAGCAGGAGCAGTCTAGAAACAGCAGCTCACAGCTCAGCAGAGGTGATTTATGCTTCTCCTGCCTGTGTGAATACAGTGTGGACAGACTGAAAGATGGGAAAACATTGCTATTGTACTTCTTCCTTCCTGAAGTGTACTGTTCTTCGAAATCTAGAGTCTTGTTTTAAAGACTCGTTTGCTTTTCCCAGCGTTGGTGACTGCAGTCTTGTGATGGTCTCAGGAAGGGGCTGGGGCATCACCAGGCTGACTTTCCCAAGCGCTGGAGTTGACAGTGGGAGGTGGGGAGCTGCTGGTGTGAGTGCTCCCAGCATGGCTGCTGCAGCTTGGGAAACGAGGGGATCCCTGCGGGTGCTGCCCCATGGTTGCTCTGTCCAAGTTACGCTCTCAAGGGAAAAGGGGAAACTTGTGCCCTGCTGTGCCCGTGCCATGAACTGGGAAGGGCGGACCTTGTTTAGTGAGGGTAATCACTCTGACATACCACGCTTTCCTGAAGTTTATGCAGAGCAGTACAATCCTTATGAATTGGCACCAAAAATTTGTCTCCAGGATAATGTACCAGTGCAAATCTGAAAGGCAAGCTGGGTTTCCTGGTGTTCATAAGCTCTTGCGTTGTTCGTGGGTGCTCTGGCACAGCGTGCTGATGGTGTAGAGGCAGTCCTTGTGAGCCAGGCCTTTCAAAAGTGGATGGCAATTCTGGGTGTCCCACCCAAGAAAAGTGAAAGGGTTCTCCTTTCCAGAGCGTGGTGCCTTAAAGCAAGCCACCTCTCAGAGATTCAGCACCCCCGAAAAAAACTTCTGAGACTTGACTGTAATCACTTGTACACTTGCTTGACTGTAATCTGCAGGCAGAAGAAGGCAGGTAAGGCGAGAAGTCACTCTTAAATGCTGTCACAGTTCAAAGGACCAGAATGACGTTTTTGGCTAAATGCCTCATAGTCAGAGCTGGAAGTCTGGGAACGCCACTTTGCAGGGGGATTGAGGGTGTCTTCTTTCCTCTGTCATTTTCTGTTATGTCTCCCTCCTATTTTTTTCAGAGAAAGAAGAATTGTTCCAGAATTTACTGGGACAGATTGCTGAGCAGTTTTCAAGGTAAGAAGCTGAACATCGTTATTAGTTTAAAATACTATTGCTTTTATCAGCCTGAAGTGAAATTTTCACAAGAGGCAGAGGGGCATTTAAGATCTCTTTCAAATCC